TCCAACTAAATAAAATGCATCTGTTCGTGTGTTTGGTGTTTATTTATTTTTTTTACTTAAAATTGGTCTGAGTGTTTTGTTCAAAATCAGAGGGTCATTGGTTAGTTATGGTTTAGCCGTTCTTGCTTTAAAAAGTAAAATAAAATTCTTATGTGGTATATTAAAAGGTTTAAATTGGTAGCATCTCATCTGCTCATTTAATTTAATTTAATTTTATTATTATTATTCTTGGTTTTATATGATATGTCTCTTTAGATAATATTTAGGAGTTACATGTTATGCATTAATTGTTTTTAACTTGTCACATTATTCTATTTATAGGTTTAACATATCAGTGATAATTATAGGAATCCTTGTTGACTCCCCATTATTTAATTTTCCTTATAGAATCACTACAACTTTTGGTAATTAAGTTATGTTTGTTTTGATCATTGTAGTGTTAAACTTGCTAAGTCATTTGTTGCTTAGTCTTATTGGTCTAAAATATAGTATTAATCTTATTCGATAACACCTTCTATGTGTACTCAAGAATTCGGTCTTAAGTGCTTAATATTGCTAAGACTATATATGTTTTTCTAGCTCCCCTAGAATAGGTTCTGAAAGCAATTTAAAGTCATCTTATTTCGATTTTAGTTATTTGAATTAACGGTCTGCTCTCTCTCATGAATTTTGGTTTTTTAAGGATGAGATTAATTTCATACTCTATTACATGCTTTTGATTTTATTATGTTTGAAACTATGGGTTTGTATTAATTTTGATTTTTTTTCTCTCAATGTATGAATTGGGTCATCCCGAGTCCTCGTGGACTCCTTTTCCTTACATTTCGAAATGGGCCACGGAGGCCCAAGTTCATTCTCCTTCTCGTGGCAACCCTCAATCACCAACATTGGAGCAAACGAACAAGTCCAATTGAAAGCGAAAGGGGATGTATACATGTTGTATACAATATGATACAACAGAAAGAGTGCCCAAAAAAAAGAGCCCTAAATTTCCAGCTTTGTATTTTGTTATTCTGGGCCTAAGTCCTTTATTTGCAATCGTTATTATCACTTGTTAGTTCTTTAGGACAAGTGGAAGAATTGAGACTAAGGCCCAAAAGAAAAACATTTCTTTTATGTTAAGACTAGGACAGGTACATGTGATTTAAATGGGCCAAAGGCCCAAAATGAAATGGGCCCAAGTACTGTCCTAGGCATATAGGAAAATCAGGTTTGGGCCCAAGTCTCTTTCCCTCTTAGCTTTATTGTGTTTATTTATTTGTCGATATTTGCTACTTAACCAATGTTTTAAAAATTCAAATCCCCAAAAGACACCCATTTTGAATTAATTACTTAACTAAATTATTCATCTTTTACTTGACTTAAAAACAAATAAATAAATAAATAAATAGGTTTACAAAATACTTCACTTAGATAATATTTCAATATTTTTCTTTTTCTCCCTTAAAATGGTCCTAACTATAAAATTGGTTCAATTTAAATTAAGTCAAACGAGTTTTGCCAAATGATTAATTGTCGGATAACCACGTATTAGCGAGCGTTTCGGGTGCTTTAAATCCCTTCCCGAAATGCTAATAAGAACCCCGAACCCCTTTTTAGTTGTCATGAGATTTCCTGTTTTAGTCTTTTGAAAACGACAGTTTTCTTGATTTTTCTAAAAAATTAAGTGGCGACTCTTAAACCAGTCTTAAGTCTATTTTTATATAAAACAGTATTCCTTATTTTACTCCTTTGTAATTTCTTGATTTCTTTATCCTTTTTCATGTAAATTAAAATAAATATCAATTAAAGAATAAGAATACAAAAATAATAACATGCTCATGAATAGAATATCACAAGTGGGGTTTGAGTAAGATAAAAGTAGATGCAAATCTTATCTCTATTTCTATGGACGATTTTCAAGGATACTCGACTCGAGTACCTAGAGAAAATACAATAAAATAATAGAGAAAGGCTAGCAAAGTTCGAATTAATTAATTACAGTGCATTACCATGTTATTTGTGAAATATTTCCTTGAGATGAAAGAATCCACATATGATTGAAGCACTCTATGCATATAGAAATTATAGAGAATACGCCTTAAGAAAATCTCATGTAGTCAATATGTGGATTGTGGACAATGGAAATGATTTGATGCTGCTCAAATATATATATGGAAAATAAAAAAGGTTTGATGCTGTAAATGTTCATAAATTGATATTTAATAGTGAAAGATGAAAAGGCAAGCAAGTTTATTTAATGAGATAAGTTTTAGGAATTAATTAAAGATATAATTAATTTGTTTTTAAGTACATTTTGTTGTTACAACTTTTTGGGAAAAAGATGGAAGACCATAAATTAACCTCCTCAACTTCCTCTACCTAAACGTCTTCATGCAGTTAAGTATATTTACTCAACTTTCAGATTTTTAAAATTGAGTTAAAGTAGAAAATTTAGGAAATAACCCAATAAAATGTCAAAAAAATGAGAAAAATAGATAAATATGAATGGAGGCCATAGAGAGGTGCCACATCACCTCCTCTATGTTTCTCCTTTATATATATATATATATATTCCTCGAACATGAAATATTTTAACTCATAATCTAGCGCAATTCTCTATTTCCTTGTTGCATAGAATTTCTTGGAATCCAACTTTTTCAATTTGGGTAGCAAACGACGCATTTATGTCGTATGAACATTTGAAACAAATTATTAAGTAATATATTGAAGCTGTTTACTGAAAAAAATAGTATAAAGTAATATGTTGTATTCCACAAGATACCAACAAAATGATATTATGAATTACAAAAGTTGTATCCAATTCATAGTATGAAAACAATATGAAGATAAGATAACAAAACTTGATGAAGTTGTTCATTAAGCCAATGTCTGTTCAAGATAAAAAAAATTTGGAAAAATAGTACTATCAATTAAGTTTTCAAGGATTTGGCATATCTTCCAAAATAGATTCTGCTTTAGTTTATAGCAAAATAATTAGGAAAACTTGACAGAATTACGTGGTGCTAAATCAGAACAGAAAATGCCCTTTTTTTCACTTGAAAAAAATGAAGAACATTTCACTCGTGGCTAAATCAATGGATTGTTGAATGAAGTTTACAATGAACTATCTATCCCAAAAATCACTACTAGACAAGGGCTTCTTGCAGTTATCTTCAAAAAGGATGATTACATGGTAAAGCTAGTTGCTAGATGTTTATTTACTTTAGTGGGAAAATTCACCAACACTATGCCTAAAAATTGAGCTCATTCGCAAAAGCTTCATCCTCCAAACTCAGTTAACTAGAGGAGTCAAGATAGCTCATTTCAATGCAAGGCACATTTATATTGATCTTGATAATGAGGAGGACTATGTCTCTGTATGGAACAAACAAAAGATCTATATTGAAGGGCAACTAATGAGACTGCAAGTCTGGACTCCTACCTTTACTTAGAAAGAAAAAACTCCCATTGTTCCTGTATGGATTACACTTCATGAGTTGCCTAAGACTTGGAATCGCTATAAAGACCCCCCCCCCCCCTTGGATGGAATTTGTTGAAGAGGACTTTACTATTGGTAAATGGAAAGCTATACAATATGAGGGGCTCTCTGATTATTGTTCCTATTGCAAACATCAAGGCCACCTATTCCATTTGTGCAAAATCAAGGTAAGGGATGAAGACAATATGAGGAGAAAGGAAGTTGAAGCTGAAAACAAGACTAAAAACAAAAAAGTTGATCCAACCACTAATCAGGTATCTCCTAATTTAAATGATACTCAATTAATGCTAATCTAGCCTCTACTAGAAATGCAGGTACCAAGGACAACCATCAGCAATTGAATAAAAAAAATGAAGAACAACAAACTGAGGACTAGACTGAAAGTCCTGCATAATTGACCTTCTTCACTCGTAGATGGAAAGATAAATATTCAGCAATTTTTTGTGCATTCTCCTGCACAAAAATTTGCACCATTACGAAGTAGTTTGATAGGAAAAAAGTATTTTAAAAAATAGATTGAGCATAAGATGAAACTAACCGAAACTGACTATAATGCTGAAATACTTGATAGCCTCAACAACATGGTTAGAGAGTGCTAAAAATCCTGTCAGAAAAATCAACACCGATTATGCACCCATAGCCTGTAAATGGATCAACAATTAAATAGTAAGTTTCAAGGGAGAGCTTCACGGTTGCAAGATACCGACAATCATAATGCCTTAGTTTAAATTCCCAAAAAAACCACTTGTTTGAATACATGAGAGAAGTGCAAAGACCACCCTGGATGGTCAGGAAGTCCTACATAATTGACCTGCTTCACTCGTGGATGGGAAGATAAATTTTCTGCAACTTTTTGTGCATTCTCCTACCAAACTCAAGACCAACCAGACAAGTTCTAGGTGACAAAAACAAACACTGTTAGACAATTGACATTTTTTCCAGCTTATTATTTTTACTGTTTTTTACTTATTTCAGTTTAGTGCTTCCTATTTTCTTGCTAGACTTAGTCAACTTTAGTAGCTCAACTTTCTGAAGTTAGTGGCCCCTTTTATGGTTGTTAGTGGCCCATGTTCTTATTTAGTCTTAATATCCACTTTGTAAGTGGCTACTAGATATGAAATGGTTAGGTTTTTCCTTGAATAAATTTAGATCTTCTGCATATTAATACACAATTGGAATTTCATAAGTTCATTCTATTTTTATTCTTCAAATCAGTTTCTTGAGTGTTTCTGTTCTAACAGTGGCATAAGAGCATCTGGTTGATCTTATAAGGCCAAAAAGTTTTAACCTACAACACAAATGGCATCCAACAACCTACCTTTAAATACACCATTCACTTTCACAGGTGCAAAATTACCGAATCTGGTCTGTGAAGATGCAAGCTTTTCTGGAAGCCTATGAACTTTGGGAAACTGTGACGGAAGATAAACCACTTGCTACACTACTAGTAAATCCTACCTTGGCTCAAATCTAATCCAACAACGAAGAGAACGCAAAGAAATCTAAAGCCAAGTCGCATATGCAGAATGCTGTGGCAGATTCTATGTTTTACAGAATCATAGCTTGCAAAACAACAAAAGAGGCTATGGCTTGCAAAATAGCAAAAGGGTCTTGGGATAGGTTGAAAGAAGAATATCAAGGCAGTGATAGAAAACGTCAAATGCAAGTGTTGAACCTGAAAATAGAGTTTGAGTCCTTGAATATGAAGGAGGACGAAACAATCAGTAAGTATGCTGATCGAATCTCCTTAATTGGTACTAACATTAGACTTCTTGGTGAAGAATTTACAGAAAAATGAATTGTGGAGAAAGTTCTTGCAACTCTTCCTGAGAGGTTTGAATCGAAGATTTCCTCTCTTGAAGAATCCAAGGACCTAAGCAAACTTTCATTAGGTGAACTAATGAGTGCTCTTCAAGCACAAGAGCAAAGGAGGACTTTGAGACGAGACAAGTTCACTGAAGGAGCTTTCTCTGTACAAAAGCAAATATTTGGTAAAGGAAAGCAACAGTTCAACCAAAAGAATAAAGACAAGCATGATGGAGGAAACAATAGTGGAGATGTGAAGCATAAGTTCCCTCCGTGCAAACATTGTAAAAGAACTACACATCTGGAGAAGTAATGTTGGTGGAGAGTCGATGCTATATGCGGAAACTGTAAGCAGACGGGGCACATATCCAAGGTCTTCAAATCAAGAGCAAAGGCCTCTGGTGCTTCGCAAGCACAAGTAGCAGAAGCTGCAGATGCACATGAGGAGCAATTCTTTGCAGTTTCATACTTTTCAATCAATGAATCCTCTGATTCATGGCTTCTTGATAGTGGTTGCACACATCACTTGTGCAATGATGCTGAAATGTTCAAATTCCTTGATCATACCTACAAATCTAAAGTAAAAGTGGGAAACGGTAAGGCAGTAGAAGTCAAAGGCAAAGGTACAATGTTTATCTCAACAATATCAGGTATCCAAACTATTCCTGATGTTTTGTACACACCTGATATGAGTCAAAATTTGTTGAGTGCTGGACAAATGCTTGAAAATAATTATTCTCTGCATTTTAAGAATTGTGAATGTGTTGTTTCTAACCCTTCTGGAGTAAACTTATTTTATGTCAAGATGAGCAACATAATGTTTTCAGTTGATTGGGAGAAAATGGCTGAGCAGGCTTACACTATTACTTCACAAACATGTACAAACCAATGGCACAAAAGGTTTGGTCACTTCAATCTAAGAAGTATCGCAGAGATGAGAAAGAAGGAGATAGTGGAAAATATGCCTGAATTTCTTTCTAATGCTCAAGTTTGTGAAACTTGCCAATAGGGAAAGCAAACAAAATTGCCATTTTCAAGCAAATCAAGTATGGAGAGCTAACCAGAAACTTCAGCTCATTCATACGGATGTTTGCGGCCCAATGAAAACGGATTCATTGAGTGGTAACAAATACTTTCTCCTCTTTATTGATGACTACACCAGAATGTGTTGGGTTTATTTCATTAGACTGAAGAGTGAAGTCTTTGATGTTTTTAAACATTTAAAGCTTTAGTAGAAAATCAATGTAATCTTAGTATAAAGGCTTTAAGGTCTGACAATGGAGGAGAATATACTTCTTCTCAGTTTGTGGAGTTTTGTAATAGAAGGTATTGAACGCCAATTGACATTACCATACACTCCACAACAAAATGGTGTGCCTGAAAGGAAGAACAGGACAGTAATGTAGATGGCCAAATGTCTTTTACTCGAAAGAAAGATCCCAAATCAATTTTGGGCGGAGGCAGTCAATACCTCTGTATATTTACTGAACAGATTGCCTACTAAGGCCTTGCAAGACATGACTCCATATGAAGCTTAGTGTGGGAGCAAACCATCAGTACACTATCTCAGAATCTTTGGGTGTATATGTTATTATCGAGTTCCAGAAACAAAGAGGAATAAGCTGGACAACAAGGCTCATAAAAGCATATTTATGGGCTATAGTTCATCTAAAGGTTACATGATTTTCTGTTTGAAATCAGAAAAACTAATTCTCAGCCGAGAAGTGAAGTTTGATGAAGCAGCTGGTTGGGATTGGAAAAATCAGAAGACCTCTTATTTCGATTTATTTTCAAAAGAGCAGCCTCAACATTTAGAAGATGAACTAGTGGATGATGTACCAGTGAGGCGAACTCGAACCTTAAAAGATGTCTATTAGCGGTGTAACTTGGTTACCTCTGAACCAACAAGCTATGCTGAAGCACAAGACTCTCAAGCATGAAGGAGAGCTATGCAAGATGAACTAGACATGATCGAGAAGAACGGAACCTGGCAGCTTGTTGACAGACCTAGAAATCGAAAGGTGATTGGTGTAAAATGGATTTTCAAGACAAAACTCAATCTTGATGGAACAATCTGCCAACATAAGGCTAGATTGGTGGTGAAAGGATACACACAACAATATGGTGTGAATTACCAGGAAACATTTGCTCCTGTAGCAAGGTATGACACAATCAAGCTTATTCTTGCATTTGTATCTCATAGTTCCTGGCAGATTCATCAACTTGATGTCAAATCGGTTTTTTTGAATGGTTTGCTTGCTGAAGTGATCTATGTAGAGCAACCTGATGGTTTCTCAATTCCTGGAAAAGAGGATCAAGTTTATCTCTTAACGAAGGCCTTGTATGGCCTAAAACAAGCCCCAAGGGCATGGTATGCATGAGAGGATGGACAATCATCTCATCCAACTTCGCTTTAGTAGAAGTCAATGTGAAGCTACTTTGAATGTGAAAGTCACTGCATGTGAGTCCTTAATTGTCTCAATTTATTTGGATGACATGCTTGTGACAGGAAGCAAAATTGAACTAATCCAAAGGTTCAAGGATGAAATGGAGAAAATCTTTGAAATGACTGATCTTGGAGTCATGAAGTACTTCCTTGGCATGGAAGTGTTTCAATCCAGTGATGGAATTTCATATGCTAGCAGAAATACATTTAAGATATTCTAAACAGGTTAAAAATGCAAGACTGCAAACCTGTGAGTACTCCAATCTCTACTGGTATGAAGCATGGCAAAGATGAGGATTCCGAAAAAGTGGATGCTAGTTTGTATAGAAGCTTAATTGGCAGTCTTCTATATCTAACCGCAAGCAGACCTGACATTCTAGTTGTTGTAAGTTTGCTCTCTAGATTCATGCGTTCGCCTGGAGACACACACTTCACAACGGCTAAAATAGTGTTAAGGTATATTAAAGGAACCAACAAGTTTGTAACTTTTTTCCCAACATCTGCCGAAGTAACTATGAACTTGATCGGTTACTCTGATAGTGATTGGGGTGGCGGAGTTGATGATTCCAGAAGCACCTCTGGATATCTTTTCTGTTTGGGGACAAGTTGTTTTAGTTGGAGCTCTAGGAAACAAGAAACTACAACTGAATCTATAGCAGAAGCTGAGTACATAGCTACTGCATCTGCTGTGAATCAAGCTATCTGGCTAAGGAAGATGTTGAAGGAGTTGGGCCAGGAACAAACATAAGCTACCAAGATCATGTGTGACAACAGTTCAATAGTTTCAAACTCAAAATATCCAGTGTTTCATGGTCAAACTAAGCATATCAAGATCAAGTTTCATTTTATTAGAGAAGTCCAACAATCTAATAAAGTGTTGCTTGTTCATTGTTCATCTGAGAACCAGCTAACTGGCATTTTCACTAAGTCATTGCCAAAGGAAAGGTTTGAAGATCTAAGGCAAAGAATTGGTGTTTGCCACAAAAATGCCAAGGAGTGTTAGACAATTGGCATTTTTTCCAGCTTATTATTTTTACTATTTTTTACTTATTTCAGTTTAGTGCTTCCTATTTTCTAGCTAGACTTAGCCAACTTTAGTTGCTCAATTTTCTGAAGTTAGTGACCCCTTTAATGGCTGTTAGTGGCACATGTTCTTATTTAATTTAACATTCACTTTGTAAGTGGCTACTAGATAGTAAATGGTTAGGTTTTTCCTTGTATAAATTTGGATCTTCTGCAAATTAATACACAACTGGAATTTCGTAAGTTCATTCTATTTTTATTCTTCAAATCAGTTTCTTGAGTGTTTTTGTTCTAACAAACACAAGTCCTTATTCAACAACTCACCACATATGACCTGCAAATTAATCAAGATGGTTCAAAATCTTATTTCCTTTTCAAAATACAAGTAGCATTGAACATTTCAACCACTAACGAATTAAATGTCACAAAAAGAGTCGTAAGAGTTGTCACAAAATCAATCATAACATGCTCAACCTTTTTAAAATAGAGTGGTGTGCTCAATACTATTCACATGCATGACTATGCTCTTAGTACCAACCAAGTCAAAAACTTCCCAAAAAGACGATGATTTTCCCCTTAAGAAAGTTGTCAACCAATCCATCATCGGGCAACCTCATGTATCTAATCGAGAACAGCCTACTCAGACTTTGCCACAAACAGTGCCAATCAAACACTCACAAGAAATCGACAATTTTAACCTTAAGAAAGTCGTCACTCTCTATCCATGATCAGGTATCGTCAATCCAAATCTTATTATCAAAACAAAAATAAAGAAGCTACAAACTACATATCAAAAAACTAAAATAGACTAATCCAACACAATATAAACAGAAACATCCACAATATTAAAGCCCGACAAGGGCACGCCAATTCATAACAAAGAAAGAAATGTATGCCCGATAAGGGCATAATTACAATATGAAGAAACAATCAATAAAATGAGTACAAAGAAGGCACCTTGAACAAAAAAAATGAGATTGTGTCCTCATAGTCCAAATATCAAAAGAGAATACGAGGGACTACCAAAGAAAAAGAAATATTACAGGAAAAGATTGAGAAGGCAATGTAATTAGGAAGTAGTTTGATTGGAAAAAAATGATCTTAGAAAATAGTTATTGAGCATAAGATGAAACTAACCAAAACTGACTATAATGTTGAAGTACATGGTAGCCTCAACAACATGCTTAAAGAGTGCCAAAGGGCTTGTCAGAAAACTCAGCACCGATCCTGCACTCATAGCCTGCAATTTGATCAACATTTAAACAATAAGTTTCAAGGGAGAGCTTCATGGTTGAAGGATATTGACAACCAAAGCGCCTTAGTTCAAATTCCCCAAAATATCACTTGTTTGTTTACTTGAGAGAAGTGCAAAGACCTCCCTGGATGGTCAGGAAGTCCGCCATAATTGACCTTCTTCACCCGTGGATGAAAAGATAAATATTCAGCATTTTTTTGTGTGCAGGTGCATTCTCCTACAGAAGAATTTTGCACCATTACGAAGTAGTTTGATAGGAAAAATGATCTTAGATAATAGTAATTGAGCATACGATGAAACTAACCAAAACTGACTATAATGCTAAATTACTTGATAGCCTCAGCAACATGCTTAAATAGTGCTAAAGATCATGTTAGAAAACTCAGCACCAATTCTGCACCTATAGCCTGCAAATTGATCAACAATTAAATTGTAAGTTTCAAGGGTGAGCTTTACCGTGGCAAGATACCGACAATCATAGCGCCTTGGTTCAAATTTTCAAAAAAATCATTTGTTTGAATACCTGAGAGAAGTGCAAAAATCTCCCTTGATGGTCATGAAATCCTGCATAATTGACCTTCTTCACTCGTGGATGGAAATATAAAGATTTAGTAATTTTCTGTGCATTCTCCTGCATAAAAAATTGCAGCATTAGTAAGTAGTTTGAGAAAATGGTAATGGAGCATAAGATGAAACTAACCAAAACTGACTATAATGCTGAAATACTTGGTAGTCTCAGCAACATGCTTCTAGAGTGCCAAAGAACCTCTCAGAAAACTCGGCACCGAACCTACACCTAAAGCCTGCAAATTGATCAACATTTAAGCTATAAGTTTCAAAGAAGAGCTTCTTGGTGGCAGGAAATACAACCATAGCCCCTTAGTTCAAATTCCCAAAAAAATCACTTGTTTAAATACATGAGAGAAGTGAAATGACCTCCCTGGATGATCAGGAAGTCTTGTATAATTGACCTTCTTCACTCGTGGATGGGAAGATAAATTTTTAGCAACTTTTTGTGCATTCTCCTGTTTGATATTGAAATTATTTAGTTAGAACACTGTGATATGCCAAAATTTTATGAACTACCCCAACTTCTCTACACAATATAAAATAAAGACGAAGATGCAACAATATGCATGCCATAATCATAAAAATCTATAGGATCAAGAAAAATAGAATTAACAGAGGGATAGGAAGACATATATGTTTCTAGAATGAGTAGTGGCACAACTAATTTCACCACAAAAAAAGCAAATAAAATTAAACCTATTGTTTTTCAACGCAGAGAGCCATTTGTTTTGATTCCTCTCGAAAAAATCCCACAATTGAATGGCGCTAACCCTGCACCTTCATCATTTTGTAGGAACTCTCCATTTCATTTTCATGCTAATATGAAAAAAACCCACATTAAAAGCACCAATTCTAAGCTTAAGCAAACCAAAATAACTACGAAAAGAGCCTCAAATGAGTGGAAATCTACTACTCATCAACACCCCAACTTAGAAACTTTGTTTGTCCTCAAGTCAAGAAAATAAAAAACACAAGTGACTCTTATTTCAAGACACACCACAAATCAATTTCCCTTTCTTAATTAAGCACAAAGATAATGACTTCGGTTGGTACTAACAAATTGTCCACATGCAAACTTTTCACAAAAGAAATCCTCTCATTCTCATGAAACATTTTCAAAAAACCAAGAATAATTTATGTGACGACAACTCAAACTCAAGAAATGACTCAACTCATTAAATCTTTCACATGCTCACCTGACTCAATTAAGAATTTTCAAAATCACCACTTTTTAGACTTACATGCCCTCATAAGAAAGAAGTGTCCCAAAACCACACACATATAAGCAAGACAAGAGACAAAGATGCAACACTCACACTCACAAACAATCATCTCATGCACATATAGTTCACACCACATGCTTGCCCATATTGTCAATCAACATTGACTCAACTCCATTTGGTTAGAAATCTCAAAGGACTTTGTTAAGCTTGTAATATGTGTTAGGGAAGGTTAGGATATCATTTAGGTATAAGTGACTACACCCTCCTTGAACACTACACAACAACTCATCATTTCCAACCTTTTTACTTTTTAAAACCCATGAACATTCAACTCTATTTTTCATTTGCTTTTCTTATTTC